ATCTAGAACTTCCCAAGGTCCAAAGTACTGAGGCATGAGTTTGCGGGATATCCCGAACTCCTGTCCCAGTTCTGAAGACTTAACCCAGACTCTGTCCCCAACCTGAAATGTAGAAGGGCGGCGGTGTCTATTCTCAGACTCTATCATTGCTGCCTGCGCCTTCTGCATGTTTTCTACAGCCTCCTGCATCTTCTGTTCATATCTATAGGCAAACTCCAAAGTGCCCGGTGTAGCAGTTGGCTGGTTGTTGGGAAGTAGGAAGTCTAAGGGCAGTCTAGGCTTGAACGTCAGTTGTAGACTGTTAGGACTCACCCCGGTAGCACTGTGTACAGTGTTGTTATATAGACTGGCGACTAGAGCAAGTTTTTCGTCCCAGTTTACCTCGTTGGGCTTGATGTAGTGCCTCGACAGGTGTTGCACAGCGCGGTTCATTTGTTCAGCCTGGCCAGTAGCTTCTGGATGATTTCCAGAGGTCATCTGCAGTTGAGTTCCTTGTTCAGCTGCAGCGGCCTTCCACAATTCACTCGTGAACCTGACGTCCCTGTCACTGACTATAGACCTCGGCAGTCCAAAGTCTCTAACCCAGTTCTCTTTAAATAGCCTGATCACATACTCGGTCTTCGCTGTTTCTGGCATAGCTATTAATCTAGCAAACTTACTAAACCTATCCATGATGACAAAGATCTGTCTCATCCCACTCTTGCTGGTGACCAGCGTATCCATGAAGTCCATGGACAAACTTTCACCCGGCCTTTCCGGAATCGGAAGGGGCTTGAGCAGCCCAAGAGGAACCTGAGTACGGGGCTTGTCTCTTTGGCAAACTTGACAAGTTTCCACGTACAACTGTGCATCTTTCATCATCGTGGGCCACCAGAACCGCTGCAGCAAGTTGGCTGCGGTCTTCTTATACCCAAAATGGCCGGTGGCATCATGACACTCACCTAAAAATAAACTACGCAAAGACTCGCTATTTGGAACACACAAGCGTTTATTCCCTGCCTTCTCTAGGAACAGCAAGCCATTGACCAACTCAAACTCAGCGGAGGTCTTCTTATCATTCGCCTCAAGTCTGCGTATAATCTCAGACATAAATTGGTCCTGACGATAGGCTTCCACGAAAGACTGAGTCACATCGTCCGTCATATCGAACTGAGTAATCAGCGCTCCTGAGAAGTCCGGTCTGCGCGACAAGGCATCAACAACCTTGTTGTACTCCCCATTTAGATACTGAGGATCAAAGTCATATTGCTCAATGACTTCGATCCAACGCTTGAGAGCGTCCGAGAGTACCGGCTGTGTTCTCATCCATCTCAGGGTCTGATGATCAGTCCGAAGGATGAAGAACCGCCCAAGGAGGTAGTGTCTCTAATGGGCGAGAGCCTTGTACACCGCATAGAGTTCCTTCTCATAAGTGGACTTAGCCAACTTTTGAGACGACATTTTTTTGGACATGTACTCTACTGGCCTCAACTTTGGCCCATCCTGCTGCGCAAGCACGACGCCAATGCCATATTGGCTGGCATCCGTTGTGACTATAAACGGCTTGTCAGGATCAGGAAGTTTCAAGACTTCATAGTGCGTCAATGCATGCTTCAAATGTCTGAAAGCAGCCTCGCACTTATCTGTCCACTCCCAAGGGGTGTCRAGGCGGGTCAGRTCAGTCAAAGGAGCGGCCACTATGYTGTAGTTCTTAAYGAAAGTCCTATAGTAGCYTGTCATTCCTAAGAAAGATCTCATCTCAGTCAAAGACTGAGGACGTGGCCAATCACGAATGCTGGCCACCTTCGCGTCATCGGGCTTCAGCCCTTCCGCGGAGATATCATCACCCAAGTACAAGACACGGGTGCGGCCAAACTCGCATTTCTCACCGTTGATCTTGAACTTGTGCTGTCGCAGGAGACCGAGGACTTTGTCCAAGTGTGCAACATGTTCCTCGACAGTCTTACTAAAAATAAGTATGTCATCGAGGTACACGATGACAAACTTATCCAAGTAGTCATGGAATATCCGATTCATAGCGTGCTGAAAGGTGAAAGGAGCATTGCAAAGGCCGAAAGGCATCACCACAAACTCGTACAGACCGTACCTGGTCTGAAAAGCGGTTTTGTGTTGATCCTCGGGCTGGATGTCAATCTGATGGTATCCGGACTTCAGATCTATCTTGCTGAAGTACCGGCACCCTTGCACTCTATCTAGCAGATCGTCGATGCGCGGTAGGGGCTCTCTGTTCTTTACGGTGATGGCATTGAGGCCCCTATAGTCAATGCACATCCTAAGAGTCCCCTCCTTCTTCTTAGGCACGAATAGAACTGGAGACCCATAAGGAGAGACACTCGGCCGAATCCAGCCCTTCTCTACGAGTTCCTTGAGTTGGCGGCGAAGCTCATCAAGCTCGCCTGGGGACATCCGATAGATCCTACCCTTTGGAATACTAGATCCTGGGATAATCTCTATCGCATGGACGACCTCCCTCTCAACAACCCCTGTAGGCTCCTCAAATAGATCAGGGTACTTGGCCACTACTCCCTCTATCTCTGGCGGCATTTTTACCGGCTCGCCCACAGCAGAGACGTAAACTAGATACATACCCTCCTCCGGATTTTGCTTATAATAATTGTAGAACGCGGCCGCACACAAGCATCCGTGGGAATCGATCAGACTACTAGCCTTGTACTTGTGTAATCTGGCGGTTCCCCCGTTTGGCAAAGTGTGTTTGACCACCTTTCGGTCCCAGTCAAACTGGGGCTATGCCACAGAGAGGTAGTACATACCCAATAGCATGTCCATGGGGAGTTCGTCACTAACTAGGAATGAGACATGATGCCTCAATTCCCCCCCAGCGTACGGGAAAAGACACTCTATGTCTTTTAGGTAGTCATGGACTACCATGCGCTGTTTGTTGGCGCAGGTCGACTCCACATGTCGACTCAGGCGCTGCCCTTGCCCCTGTAAGCGCAACCTCTCAACGCACGCGCGGCTAATAAAGTTCCTAGTCGAGCAAGTGTCGTAATAGGCCCTGGCCTTGCGGCCTCCTATGACTACCTCGCTGACAAACATTTCACTCCTAGGGGCTTTGAATAACGCCGTCCAAGAAGCTAGTGGGTCTGATCTAGACCACTCATCCTCTAACTCCTCTGAGGATTCAAACACATTCATCGAACAGAGGGTCGATGGTGCCTGAAGAACTGGCAATGTTGCTACCAACTGGTTGAGAGGATCCTACCGCCGGCCCCATAGTGGGCGGGATCTTCTCGGTGACCTTCCTGTTGCGGCACTTGTACATGCTATGACCATATTGGCCACACTTGATACAAGCTTGCCGTGCCCATGGATTTCTCCACACGTCCTCATATAGACCCGCTTTCTCCCATGGAGGAGCATTGGGGTCTGTTTGACTCTTCGACCGGGATCCCCTAGGGCGTCTACCGGTCCCTTTACCTTTTTGCTGGGTTACGGCGGCGACTACTCCACACTCTGAAATTTCGCCACCCGCCTCTGCACCTACTCCCTCCTGGAAGTTGTCGTCCAACTCGATGGTTGATCCATCGTTGTCGACAAACATGATGCGACCTTTCGCCTTCCAGTTGGGAGGCAGTGTCTTCTTTCTCCCTTCCGTAGTGGGTGCCTGTCCATGCCCTATCTTTGCTTCCAGGTCTAGGGCCACCTTGCTAAACGAAGGGAAGTTGTGCATATTGATGTTGGCCTCTTTTGCCAACTGGTTCCTGAGAGGCTGTGAAAAACATCTCAGGTACGAAGTCAACAGGACCTGAGGATCATAGCGTACTCCAGGGACACAGATCAAACGCTCAACAGCGTCGGTGGCTTCCCTTACTTACTTAAACTGCCGCGTGTGCAGTGTCAGGATCGCGTCAGTGGCCCTTTGAGCCTCCTGAGGATCATGCCACCTCTCCTCCACCATCTTCAGGAAGTCCTCCAATTTCTGGGAGGCCGCCCAAGCGCGGAAGTTATGACCGTATCATTGAAGTTGTACGAGACCACTCAACCATCTCGCTGCACTACCCTCGAGGTAAGACGCAGCCACAAGCACTTCTTCGTGCGGCAAGGTGAGTTTGCACCTGACGTAGACCGGCACTGCCCTCAACCATGTGTCGAGGTCCTCGCCTCTCTTGTCCCCTGTGAAAGGTTTGGGAGCGGCGATGGCCGTCTTTGGAACCCACTGTGTCTGTCCCTGTCCCTGCATCAATCCGGGCTGTGGACCTGGTGAAACAGGTTGCTGTGCTAGCTGCTGGGGCTGTGTGCCCTGAGGCTACACTGRCTGCGAGACAGCAGGCTGCGTGGTGACTGCAACCTGTGAAGGACTTGGAGTAAACACTGTCTGTACAAGAACCTGTAAACTACTCCCTGCTGTTACCCCTCCTGAAAGCGGCATGCCCAGGGAAACTATTGCAACCGTTGAAGGGGCTACATATGGGGATACCCCTATCACCGGTGGGACAGAAAAAGGAGGATATGCTGGTGATGGTGCTGCCTGAGCACGGCCTGCCAACACGGCTAGGCTTTGTTGAATGTCCTGAAGGATGGTAGTTTGATGCTCCTGCATCTCAATTACGCCTAGCAGGGCCCTCCGAACTACCTTCACATCATCATCCATATGCGTCAGGTCCATCATCTCTAACTCCTCTATGTCTGCCACTCTTCGTTGCAACCTGGTTTTTCTTCTAATCATCATTTCCTTCTCTCTTTTTATCTGTCCTAAGGCCTGCTGTAGCTGTGCCTCTTGCAGGGCTGCCTGCTGGATGGAGACATCCTCTGGGTTCAACACCGCGGGCTGGCTTGCCATTAAGCCAGTGGACTGACTCACGGTCTGCGCGACCGTAGACCCGGTGTTACCTGAACTACCGGCTGGGGAAGTCTGCTGTGCAGACGTGCTCATGGTTGTGGTAGCCATGGCTGCTGTAGCACCGGCCTCGCTAGCTAATGCCCTGCTGGCCTCGGCTAATCTAGCTCTCCTCTGCTGCTGCCTCTCCCGCTGCCGGCGGAACAGTTCCCTATCACCCCCCAGTCCTAGGGACACGTGAGATATCGGGCCTCTAGCTGATCGCAAGATCCTGCGGTCGTCCTCTCCGGTGTCCTCACTATCGCTCATAGGCTACAACACTGGGCACTGCCTACACTAGATCATTCAAGATGCCTACCGCAGCGTAGTGCACAGACCAACTAATTACTGGTGGCTATTTTGGAACAGACCTCATTTGGGGTCAACAGGTAAGTGAGGTTCCTATTGTCAATACTATTTTTAGCAAGATTAGTTCCCAGACAGAGAAAACATCAGGAATAAATAATATTCTAAGCTAATGCTGTCTGTCAGATGTCACATGGCTGTCCATCTAACTAATCAAAAATAAAAATAATCTTGACTGATTAGGTCTGTTCAAAGCATGGAATTAAAACCTGAACTTATCACCTGGAACCTGCCCCTCCCTTTGTTCTTCTCAAAGTCACGGTGTCACGTTTCTTCGCATCAGAAGCCAAGCGTGTCTTAAAGGTGTGCAATCCGGTCCCACCCCTGTGCCCCGGGTTATCGTTGAGCAAGGCAGCCACAACACTCTTATTTACCCTCATACGCCGACGAGCCTTCCACTCGGATGATCGGTTGATCAAGAGGCAATTTAACGTCCGCCCCCAAGTGACATCAGGAATTATTTTACGTCGCAGCAGGACGACGATCACAGCCAGATCAGAGCCGAGTCCCCAGCCAGAAATGTTTATAGACGGTCTGGTAAGCATCTGTAGAGGCTGCCACACTCGAGTTAACCCCTATCATGCGCAAGCAGCAGAACCAATGACTTGCAGCGAAGCATGCGTGTACTACACCCAGTGGGTTGGCATGGTGACCGTGACCCAGTGCTTCGTCCAGGGCCCTTCAAGAAGCTCCGCCCGTCTTCCCCCACATGCTCCACGTGAACAATCACGACTCTCAAGGTTGAGCGCACACGCTACCTCACGATGAGAGGACTCTCACAACCTCACGGTAAGAAGTGATGAAGAGGGTAGGTAAGGTTAAGAGCAACGTACCTCGTTCATGCTGCCCCCATCCACAGAGATAGTCTCACCAGATGACCTGAAGATGATTGTGATGACCAGTCACAGCATCGGCACAACCAGCATTTCGCCGTTCCACCTCAGCCTCAATCACCCAACAGATAGTTCTCATCACACTGCGAACACCCAATATTGACACCTTAGCCTTCCAGGCGATGCCCCTCACCACCTGGGTCGCCTTCACACTCGTCTCCACCATCCTCACTACACACCACTTACGGCCAAACTTCGCCCAGCAGACCGCATGTATGTACCGCATAGGGTAGAAGACAAGCGCCAGATGAGCGCAATCGTACCACAGCTCCGAAACCAAATTGCAAGGAAGATGAGCATTAGCGAACTTCAGCAATCATACAGCATCATACATATGAGTCCAGATAGCCTTGACCTCGAACCACAGCAGAATTGCATCACGAGATACACCAAATAAGAACACACCAAGAGTTCAAAATTGACAATGCTGAAGTAGTCCCATCATCATCAAYGAAGAACCAGAGTTGATATCCTATTGGCGCTCGGCRCCCAGACTACATGTGGCAGATCCTATCTAGCCTATACTACGRAGCAGAATGATGACATCAACAGCGTTCCCGAAGTACGAGCATATGGCGACCAATGTCGCCCGCTTCAGCACCAGGTATGTCTTGCGCTACACTCACAACCCCGATCCACACCACACAGATGCCACTAGCACCCAAGGACCACCCTGCGCTTCACCCAGCATACAGCAGCGCAGCTTGGCTATGGCTGCGTGCTCCCTCCCTACTCGCCCGTGAGAGYGTGAGTGCCAGCCAGCCAGMAGATAGCGCACCAGCGCTCGYGCAGCATGCAGCCAGCACCCGAATGYCGAATGAGAGGCAGGCCCTTCCCTATATCGAAGTGGCCTGCCTGCGTCCAGTCCAGGAAGCTTCCAGTAGGCCCCGGTAGCCTGAGGCCCAGTCACGAGGAAAGCAGGCCTTGGGCCTGAAGTGGTTGCGTGCGCCCAACTGCTTTCGGCCTGTGTTCGGCCCGGTAYYTGAATCCAGCCCAGGGCCTGTTCTTCGTACATTCACACAGGCGGCCCAGGGCCTGGGTTCATTCAACCAACTGGCGCTGCGCAACTGCCTGAATTTTCCCCAATGCGGGGTACCCTGAAAAACGAGGCCTGAAGGGCCTGTCGTGCCTGCCTTCACTTAGGGCGGCCGACCTTGCTGCAAATAGGGCCCCGTAGGGGCTAAGCGGGAGTAGCCTCGCGAGAGAGAGAGAGAGAGAGA